TGACACAACAGATGGCGATGACGATGGGTATGGATCATCGCCGTCATTACGGACGCTGACTACGAGGTGTTCCTAGACAAGGACGTTCGGGTGGCATTGGCAACCGATTCCGTAGTAGGGGAGGTGTGGACGCGATGCGAACAGGCTGGCCTGATTTCTTCCTCCATCGCTCTTCAACGCTTAGAGAGTGTTTCGCAGTTCGACGTAAGCTCCAGAACGGCGAGCTCAGTGCCGCGTTCCGGCACCCAGATGGCGTTGTTGCATTCGCATACCTGGAAAGCAAGCATTTACAACCTGCAAATGGTTCGCAAAATCCATGAGTGTATTGTGCGCAGCAGGCCGCTTCTCAGAAGCTTCGCGTGGTGGCCAGGCATGGTGCAAGCCTCCACCAGTCTTGTTCAATACTGCTAGCCCTGGCATCTCAAGGGTGCTGTGTTCACCCAGGACGCACACCCCGTTCCACTGTAATCGGTTCTAATCCCCAGGCGACCCTCGCCGAGGCTGGGGCTCAACATGGTGGGGGCCAGTCGTGGGCGGGACGCTTTTTGCCCGCCACGCCACCATCGTAGTCAAGTAAGAGCCCCGAAAGCCCCAGGGCCTCAAGAGGCCCGAGGTTCCATTGATCTCGTCGACCGAGGCGGGCAACGTGATGAGCTGCTTAACACCGCGCTGTCATAAGAAGGCTTGTGTGATGAAATTGTCGGTGGCAATGACCCTTAGGTCTTAAAAGATCTGGGATATGCGCGAGGAACCGCAGCATACACACGCGAGCTCATTGTTGTAGTGGTCTCGGACATGACAGCGGAGTGTGTTAACCGCACTCATGGCTGATGGACGTCACCCACCGGCCGGGGAACAAGGTGACCTCCTCAGCCTCGCACTTCCACCAACGCCTGGCAAAGCATCCCACTGCACCAGCCCTCCGCCCCCACAGGACTGCGTTGACAGCACACCCAAGTGCAACAGACGGCATGAGATCAAGCAACCGACCACCCTTCCCGGAGACCTGGTTCGCGTGAGGCGAGCCGGTCTCACGGTTTGGGGCGCCCTAGACAGTCCAAACTACAGGTCGGTTTGGGGCGCCCCGGACGGTCCAAACCACAGGCCAGAGGGGCGCCATCCCTCCGGTCGGACGGGACGAGGTGGACGTGGCCCGCCCGGCTCCAGCTCCGAGTACCAGCACAGCTGTGGCGCCCGACGTCGGACCCATCCCGCCGCTGTCTCCTCGCGACGTTCCGCGCGCAGCCCTGTACTCGGACCGCCACTGGGCGTCGGTCCGTCTCGCGCATCCAGACTCACCTCTCCAGCCAGATCTCTGCCCGCTGTCACGCGACGGCTCCAGGGGGGGGGGGGGGGGGGCGAGCGCTGCCATCGTTGGCCTGCAGGCGCCGACGTCTGGTGTCTGGATGACCCCAGAGTTGGGCTGCTTGCACCCGCGGTCGAACCCGCCGGGCTCCAGTGTGATACCCCTGCGTGGCGTCTGTCCGCTCCGTTAGTTGTCAGCCCAAGCTAATCACGGTGTGATTTCTGGCAATCAATGTGTGTAACCTGAAAAGTCGGGACATGTGGCACTTACATCCTCTGATAAAACTCCGTTTACGACGGCAGCGCCCATCGCGACTTGTGTGCTGCGATCCGAGTGGGCGTGGGTGTGTATTGTGAACATTGTATATGAGCAGTGGACTTGTTTACATGCAATCAGGGCCCATTTTAACGTGTTATGGGGGGGGGGGGGCAATCCCCACCAGAGGCTGCCACTCCACCCCCACCGCCCAGTAAACCGCGAAATCCCCTCCCCCCCCCCCCCCGAGAGAAAACTTCCTTTGTTAGCAGCTCACGTCAGATCAGGTCTTTGAAACGGCTCAGGCGGAGATCTGAGTCGTGGCGGAAGCGTGTATTTTCCACGGGGCCAAGGGTTCTAAGGCGAGGAAGCTGGTAGGAAAAGGAAAAATTGTAGCAGCAAAAAATTAGTGAGACCGCTCTTAAAACGCCCGACAGGTCAGTTCGCACAGGTCAGACAGGACAGGTCAGAAACACAACAGGTCCACAACACTGCCGTCGTACCGTAAAAAGATCATTGCAGGTTCTCAATATTGTTTACATATACTTGTCCACGCCTGTCAGCTGGAATTTGATTAACCTAGATGCGTGCCGAAATTTGGTAAAGGATATGACCCAACAGGCGCTAGTCATGGTTGTGACAGTTCTGCTGAATTCCATAATGATGGGTTGAGTTACATGAGCAGCTGCGGCCACAAGCAGTATAATTAAGCCGTGCAAAAATACGTTTACCCAGCTGACGGGTCACCCCAAAATGCAAATTTGCCAACATGTCGAACGTGACATCACGCGAGCGCCATCCAATCACAAGTGGGATCCGGCAATCTGTCAGTTAGCTAAAATTGCTTTCGGTGATGACAAATCCGTTGAGGGATTTTGGAGGCAAAACGTGATTTGTTTCTCGGTTCTTTCCACGCATCGGCATAATGCTGGTGTAACATTTTGTGAATCTGAAATATAGCCGACCACTTTTACGGCACTCACTCAACAATTGTTTCTGCAGTTTTTCGGGGAACGGGGGGGGGGAGGAGGGAGAATGAGGACAGTTTCCTATGTACCCCACCCCCTTCGCTTTCACCGTCCGTGCCTGCTCCCTTTACCTTTTGTGTGACGGGCTGCCAGATAATATTTTTTGGAACACAGTGTGTCTTGGTCTGTACCAAGTATTGTCCTGAAACCTTGTCAAACGAAACGCAAAACGTTGTCATACGCCAGACTCTTATTGCCTATCATTATCAAATACAGACGGTAATAGCTGGTGTCTGATGTTTTGGCGCGTACATGCACCTAACCCATGCCGTTAAGTTCCTTTTCACACCTATGCATCGCGCCATAAGTCAACACAGCCATGACATGCCGAAATCTGGGACGGCTCCAAAAGCGCATCTTACTTCTACGCGTCGCGAGCGGTTGGAAGCAGGGTACAACTAAAAAAATGTTCACTAAACCATGAGTTTGATACGCCGTAGGGGCGCAAAATTATGTGCGTGCCGTGAGATAAGGTGTTCTGCATTTTATTGTTACGTGCTTATCTACTCTATGTGTCTACGCCCCTGTCTCCGTTCACACTGGTTGATACCTGCCTCTACCATTTCATAAGGCTAAAATTTTGTTTTCACCGCCGAGTCCGTCCCGACAAACACAAACGTGTTTACTCATGACGTGCTAAGGGCGTATGCTGTTGAAGCATTAACGAGGGCCTGCCTGTGATTTGCATTTAATGATCTTGAAAAGGACTATCTCAGTTCGAATCCCCATGCAAATATGACACACTTAAAGGGATGCTCCACATTTGTCGATATTTTAGCACGCACCAACTATGATTAAATAAACACAATTACAACTATTGGTATACTTTTAACCAAAAGACTGTCGCCAGACAATGCAAGTTCTCTGTTCAGTAAACATGTGCCTCAATGCGTCATTGTTTGATTGCGTCATCGTACCTTGCAGACTATTGATTGAGTCAATTGACTGCCATTACATTTATAAAACATGCTCACGAACACCAGATATGAACGATTTGGCAACTATGTTTTTCTGGCCTTCTTCGCCGTACGGTCAATGGAATGACGGGGCATGAATGACAATATTAGGGCTTCATGGACGCCAGGGTAACCATGAAAAAGTCTGCACGAAAGTCTTCACATTTTCGTAGGCATGCAGTTCAGAAACTAGACGGGTTCAGGTCTAAGCAAAGGCAGGGCTGTGAGCTGCACCAAATGATCTTCAAAATTGGCTATTTCAGTTAAAAAACTTATACAAATGTGGAACGCTTCTTTTAGAGGGCGTGTCTCACCTTTGGGGCTTATTTCAAGAACATACTCTCGGGAAGCCCCAGGACAAGTTACGTCTATTGATAGCCCTGGGTAACGCCACTGCGGCACTGTCAATACATAATAAAGTTATCAATTTCGGTTTCCTTCCAGTCAAAATACGTTAAAAAATTTTGCTCAAAATACACTCAAAAATTTTCTGATACGCTGTCAACGCTTTGAAACAGCATTATACTTCTTCCCCGCAGTCGCGACCACCGTCGTTATTACAATGACCGAGCGCGCTTCTACTGACGCGAATAAAAAAAGGTTTTTGATTGGTCCCGTGGGCAAGGGCCTGTTATCGAGAAGTTGGTTGGTTGAAGTTTGAACCAGCGTATCACATTGATTATGTGATACTCTCATTACCAGAGCCAAAGTGCGTCTCGAACAGAGCGACTGTGGTAAACACCATAAGGGAGAATTTAAGACATAGTATAGCGATTCGTTAATTTCGCAGCATGATAGTTTCATGTTTGCATATCTTTTTGTGTAAACAGGGTGTTTCGAGCTTTCGCATAATTTATTTTACATCTAGTTTGACACATTAAGGGTGTTGCAAACATTGCGTAAGACACAGGTTCGAAGAGGCAAGGCACATAAGACGCAGTACTTTCATAGTGGTGAGCAGAGAGTGAGAGGAAATTTCTCCCGCAGGACCGACTATTTCATATCGAAATTTTGAGCTTTCAGAAGAATTTCGAGAAAACTGGTATTTCTGATCAAATCGTACTCGTCTGGTGTAACAATAAGAGGGAAGTAGAAAAAAGTGGGATGCTCCCGTTAAGCCAGCCGATTGATGAATGGAAAGCCCAAAACGACTATTAGTTTCATCGTGACTTTTAACGGTGTGTAACAGCTACACATTATTTCGTAGACAGGGGTGTTAATAGATATCTTCGCAGGCACTTTAGCCGGTGGCGAGGATCAGCTGCAATGGATTCTATAGAAGGTAGAAGCCCAACGACAGAAAAATAAACACTGTATAAGCGCGCACCGAACACGCTTTGGTGCGCAGCGTCGTACCATGCAAAACTTGTTCATAACAATTGTTTTGCGTGGTAATGAAGTGACACGAAGTGCTGTTTGGTACATATTTTTATTTCACATTATCTGACACCTTCTTATGCATTTCTCAAGGTCAAACAGATGACAGAAAGATCAAAGTGAGGTCACATGGGATCAAGGCGAGGTTAAATGATCGCACATCGCATATGTGTATGCACCGTGTAGTCATATACGTCGTAGCCTTCGTTTGACACCTATTTCAACGCCGTTAAGATATTTCCACTTAAAAGAGCTGCTGCTTTCTCCTCCGATACCTTACTCATCTTCAGTCAAGTACCGCACCAGCTAAATGTTATGGTCGCAAATGTGGAATCTGACAGTAAAAGTTTGCCAAGGGCTTTGTTTCATACGCCCAATGCTTTTTGTTGTTAGAAATGCCAAAAAAGCAATTCTTCCACAAAAATAGCCCCATCACATGATGTTGCACATGGCCATGGTGATAACCAAGTAGGATGACGCACATCTACCTGCCGGTCGTGTTTGCTGTGGGACGTTTCTGACCAGACCAGCAGTGTTAGCTGATGATATCATGCTAGAGATGAATCCCGCAAGGAAAAAGGCCTCAGAGCAAGGACGTAACTTTGTGTCAATTAGGGAGACTCTTGCGCTTGCGGCCTGAGTATCTAAATTCCCCTTCTGTGTTTGGTTAAGGCCACCAGAAATTCACCCGAACCGGAAAAAAAGGTGCAAAGATCTCCCGGCTCTGGGGGAAACCCGGTCTTCATCTTTCCTCGCCTCCGCTCATGTTTATGATGTCCCTCTAATGCCCAAGACCAACTGCAGTCAAACTTGACGAGCCAGGAGACGCAACGGCTTAGAATTTCATAAGCGCGCTCGTCACGAAATTAATTCCGTCTCAATTGCATGGGTGAGTTTGAGTTTAGCCCACTTTCTAAACAGAACTCATCGTGTGTTTCGTAGCTCCACCACGCAAGTTGTACTGTAACAGCACCTTTCGTCGGCGGTCAGTCGGAGCCGACCAGCGATGCGCCGTGCTCGTGACCCGCGCCAGCTGCCGCGCCATTTTTGTCTCCGGCCGAGCCGACCAGCGGTGCGCCGTGCTCGTGACCCGCGCCAGCTGCCGCGCCACCTTTGTCTCCGGCCAGCGCGGTGAGCCCGTCGACGGACGCTTCGCGGCGGGCGGAGAGGTAGGTGCCGATGTGGCAGCTGCCCGCGATACCCAGCGCCAGCAGCAGCACTGCCGACATACGGCACCGGACGGTCGGCGTGTGCTCCCGGGCCACGCCGGCGCGACCCCGCGGCTTTCGGCCGTCGCTGAGGCAAGCCACAGGAGTGCTGCGGCGTCGGGTTAGGTACAGTGCTCCCGGATGTGGGTCTGAGCGCGCCTCACTTGTTGGAGGGGGCAACAGTCAGACTATGGTTGCAATCAGACGGCTGGGGTGGGTCTAGTGTTCTTGGAGCCGGCCTCATTCTCAACTGTTGTTGTGGGTTGGTGAAACGCTTACCCTTTAGAGGCAATGCTCACCGGTGAGGGCGAGAATGAGAGGCCCCGCTGTCTGCAGAGATGCCAGAACTCCGCCGTCCGGCACCAGGCTGGAGTAGTGGTGGCACAGTATGAAGATAGAGATGCCGATGACGATCAGGGGCACGCAGATCCAGGGCAACGTTCGCATGTAGCGCCCGCACAGCCGCACACTGCCGGGTATCTGGAGGAAGCGGGTACAGGGCGACACGCTCACGAGGCAGCCCGCGAGCCGGCGAGGCAGCGCGCGCAGCCATGCATTGGAAATAGGGAGGTCTAATGCAGAATACGCGTCCAGCAGCCGCACATCCCCATGCCGGTACTGCTTACCTCGCACAGGTCGTACGGAGGAGAAAGGTGTAGCTGTGCGACAGCTTATGATGCTTATGATGGGTGGCGCTTTTTCATGGCTGAAGGAATGACGTTCTTAAACAGCTGTGACAAAATTTAGAGCAAGCTGACTAGGACATACAGCATCGCTGTGTTCGGTTTTTGTCACACCCGTGGCCGTGGGCCGTTTAATTCCGATGTAGTCGCCAGCTCTTGCATATAATCCTCAACGACACGCGGTGCACGCTGCATACACGAGGCATACAGCCAGCTGCTCTCCGGATACCCACTTGTTTTGCAACGTATTAAACTGCTATAATCGTCTGCTTGAGGACGGACTCTTTAATGATTATCTGACATTTACCGTGGAATGTGTTGTTCTGCTTTGAACATAGATCAGCGTACATCTACTGAACTTACCTTAGGGGCGGGAGCCAGGTTTTGAGCATGTCCAAATGAGTCCATTTCCATTATATACAGCAAAATTTGAACGCACTGTAAGGCCGTGCCTCTGACTGCCTGTCTGAAAGACTGTCACTTTGTTTCTCACGCGTGAGGCGCACAGCAGAAATCGTGTTGTGAAAAATGGTGCCTCGTGTGGTATTGCTCCTCCGTGATCTTATTCTCATTTGGTCTTTGTTATGATTCGGACCTTGGTTGGATTCGTAATTACTACAGTTTGCCACAGGCCCACGCCTTTTTAACATTCTACATAGCATTTATAGCAGCTTAAAACATGCGGTCTTTTGAAAAGTCTTGTTACTTAAATGAGTTATTCCAGTGATGTTGTCTACAATAATAAAATTTCCGGTGACTCACGATCATAAATAAAAAATATCGGCACTTCCGAAAACTCCGATTTCGTGGGAAGCCTCAGAAAGCATCCACTTTTTCACACATCGGACTTTTGGACTTCCTTGACATCTCATACAATTCCATAGAGTCACAAAGAAGCTTGCATCTCAACTTATTTAATGCAGATTCACATGACTTACCCATGGCCATTTTCTTCCGTTTCATGTCATTCCAGTGCTGAAATACAAATACGCGAGTAGTAACTGATGTTATTGATTGTAGGCAATAGTTATTCCATATAAGAAAATTACACTTTTCAGCAACTCGATTCTTTGGACACGTTTTTAACTGACAGCTGGTCCATCCTTACAGTTTGGGTTGGGCTTTGAACAAGAACGTTCAGAAAACGGTGTCTGGTTTATTCTAGATTATGAGCGATTTCGCATCAGCTCGGTCCTCTTTACAAAAATCTGGAGACGATCGACATCCCCCTCTTCCTCTCCCGCCCCCACCCTCGAGGCAAATTCCGGCCATTTGCACGGTGGTGGCCGCAGTTTATCATCTTTACAGCATTTTTTGTCTTCCCAAATGTGTTACATGAATCAATATTCCGACACACTTGGATGGCAGCAATACCAGCGGATGCACTCTATTTAATCTTCCCTGTTCCATCATTTGTACACTTTTCACCCTGCCCACTCCATGCTTGGCCTTGACCAGTTGGACCGGGAGGCCACAAACGTCCAGATAAGGGCCAATCGTCTCCCTGGCCTCTCATCGAGGATGGTGAACTGGTGACCACCAGATCGATGAGAGCTTTCGTGATCGTCACGGCGGCGCGCCGGGCCCCGGAGCGCACGTGCTGGCGCGTCGGATCGACCAAGATGTCTTGGAGGCCTTCTTCGGTCCGGGGCGTGGAAAGAGTGGCGTAAGTTCAACTGAAGTACCAGCGAGGCCAAACGTCATGTGAGGACCCTGGCTCTGATGCTGGAGCTTGGGGTCAGCTCAGAAGCATCCGACCAGACCATAGCTGCGACCCTTCACAGAACCGGAACACAGCTGCGACCCGCCACAGAACCAGAACATAGCTGCGACCCATCACAAAACCCCAACACAACTGCGACCCGCCACAGAGACGACGCAGACTAGACCGGCATGTTTGACCCCGCATACCTCGTTGAGAATGGTGCGGAAGAAAATCAAGCTGCTGCAGACTTGGCAGACATTGAATCGCTTCTTCAGAATGTCGACTTCCGGCGCAGGACGCCGTCAGCAGGAACCAGTCAGGTCGCCACACGGGCTGGAGTCGCCAGCCTCTCGGTGCCTACGGATGAGCGGGTGCCGGTCGAGATCGCGTGGACCGAACTCCTCACCCACGGCGGTCTGAACGCCCGCAACAGAAAGTGGATGGCCCTGCTTGAAGCCATGGAGAGCGCCTTCTGTCAGCATCTCCACTTGGAGCTGGGTGACTTCTCTCTCGCAGCATCGACAAGATCCCCGCGGTCGTGGAGTCGTTGCATGCGCAGCATTGAACATTGGATGCCAAACGTTCCTCTGGCTTGTTCGCCTCCGTACTTTCATCCGCCCTGGGCTGCCGCAACCAAGGACGTTACCGCCATGCATCGGCAGGGGCGAGAGGCACGGAAGAAAACGGGCTCCGCGGCTAAACAAGCAAGTCCTGCTGCCACATGCCTGCTGACCCTGCTACCGAGCGCCTGCTGGCCACTTCGCCGAATACTTGCTGACCCTGGTACTGCCTTTCCGCTGGCCTTGTGACCGCCTTCCCGCTGGTCCGGCCGTCACTTCCTGCTAGTCGTGTCACCGTCTTCCTCCTGGTCCGACCGTCACTTCCTGCTAGTTCTGTCACCGCCTTCCTGCTGGTCCAGCCGTCACTTCCTGCTAGTCCTGTCACCGCCTTCCCGCTGGTCCGGCCGCTGCCTTCATGCTGGTCCTACCGTAACCTTCCTGTTCGTTCTGCCGTCAACTATCCGCTTACCAGCCAATCCTGGTGACTCCTCCGCCGCTTATCTACTAGTCTTGGTGCTTCCTCCGCCGCTTACCTGCTAGTGTTGGTGCCTACGCCGCTTACCTGCTAGTCTTTGTGCTCCGGCACTCTCCTGCTAGTCTTGGTGCCTATTCTGCCGCTTATGGGTTAGTCTTGGTGCCTTCTCCGCCGCTTACCTGCTAGTCTTGGTGCTTCCTCCGCCGCTTACCTGATAGTCTTAGTGCTTCCTCCCCGCTTACACGCTAGTCTTGGTGCCTCCTCCGCCGCTTACCCGTTAGTCTTGGTGCTTCCTCCGCCGCTTAACTGTTAGTCTTGGTGCTTCTTCCGCCGCTTACACGTTAGTCTTGGTGTCTCCTTCTCCGCTTACACGCCAGTCCTAGTGCCCCCTCCGCCACTGACCTGTTAGTCTTGGTGCCTCCTCCGCCGCTTACACGCTAGTCTTGGTGTCTCCTTCGCCGCCTACCTGTTAGTCTTGGTGCTTCCTCCGCCGCTTACAGGCTAGTCCCAGTGCCTCCTCCGCCGCTTATCCGTTAGTCCTAGTGCCACCTCCGCCGCTTACACGCTAGTCTTGGTGCCTACGTTAGTCTTGGTGCTTCTTCCGCCGCTTACACGCTGGTCTTGGTGCCTCCTCCGCCGCTTATCTGTTATTCCTAGTGCCTCCTCCGCCGCTTATCCGTCAGTCCTAGTGCCTCCTTCGCCGCTTATCCGTTAGTCCTAGTGCCTCCTTCGCCGCTTATCCGTTAGTCCTTGTGCCTCCTCCGCCGCTTAACAAATGGGTTGCGCAGCCACTTTGAGCCAGACACCACGGAGTGCGCAAGACACTGCAGCTGTCCTTTTTTCATCTGTCTGGCATGCATCAGTGTAACTTATTTCCACCCGCTGGTGGCTCCATTCGTTTATTAAAAGGGGAGAGCAATCTGGTGTTGCCGCTTTCTTGCGTCAGAGTGTCAACTATGAACTGACTGTAACTCTATGTGACTTCTTAGTGACTATGAACCACAAAACCTTGCCGTAAAACGCACGCATTGTATCGCAGCAAACCGTGCTCACCACTAATTAACGGTCGCCACCCCTGAAGGCAGATAGGTGTAAAACTATCAGCTACATTTCGGTGGGTAAAGTTATTTTATGAGTGTAGTTGACAGCAAACGGATGGTTTGTTGTTTAGGTTTTATGATGAAGGCCCCTGTTCTATTTTATTCTTTGCTACTGCATGTGCCAAAACTGTCCACATCGAAGGGAGGGCCTGTTGTTCGATTCTGTTGCCGTTTTCTCGTTTTCAAGCTTTTACTTGTAATCAAAAGTGCACGATGAAAATTGAAATGGAAGGAAATTTAGGTGTTGAAATATAAAACGGGATAATTGGCACATCGGTTGATACATAACCATACCAGCCGAAGTGCACTCGAATCCCAATAATCAATTAACACATTAACATATTTATGCACAAATTCAATTTGCCCATAGGTCCAAAGTTCATGCTGAATGGAATGCTAGCTTGACACACTGGCTGAGTGATCACTGCTTGACGCGTGATGTTCGCATGGCTTGCCTCAGATCATGGTGCTGCTTCATCCCACTAGTGATTTGCGCGCATCAGCATCCGAACCGCGTAGCAGTCCCCACGGCGCGCCGGGGGTCAGCCACCAGGCGGCGCGCGATAGCTGCCATCAATGGAGCGAGCTGTGTCGCTGGCATCGCATATCCGCCGCAGTAGTGATGCACTCGCGGCGCTCGCGCGCCGTTCGCCCGCTGAGCAGTCAGCATCGCCAAGCCAATGTCGCGCCGAGGCCATGGTGGTTCTTGAAAAACAGCTGTCTTGCCTTGCCCATGTACCTAGTTATATGCTCTGTGCTACCTCCCGAGCATCAGAGTGCACACTAAATGCCAATTACATTTGCGAACGCTGCTCCAACGAGCTGATTAGAAACGACACAGTGAGTTCCAGTGGGATGGCCCTCATTGCCGGGTGGGCAGTGCTCCGGAAGATGCATTCCTGACCGAATGTCAGGCCTTTTCGCCAAATTGACTTCAGACGTGAAGAACGCACTCACTTTTTGCTTCTTTCATAACCCTTCGGGATGGTGCCTCAGAGCCCCCTACAGATCTAAAGAGCCTAGTAATCTAGAGCCACGCAGAAAACGGCTATACAAAATACTTTCCAAACTGCCCTGAATAAAAAGGTGAACATGACCTCTCGTAGGTCAGACCCCTCCAATCATTTAAAAACCAAGTATGCGGACAATGCGGATGACGGTATGCAATAGCTCTTGGAAAACTCTATGAGGAAGCCAGTAGTAGATATGTACCGCATGTAATGAATCATTTCCACCGAAATGGGCGGCAAGGTCTCGATTAGGCGACAGATTTGTCATCATGTGGGCTGGGGACCTGATCAGATAATACGACAACTGCTCGTAAGCGTAACGTGACTTACGATGGTCACGCACTCGAAAATTGCAGACGTCATCGACGCGAAGGTGTTCAGAAGACAAGCAACATGGAACAGAAACTTCGCTGCAGAGGGGAACAGGGATACGATCCCCCCCCCCCCCCCCAATTCAGCGGAACAAAACATTTCGCCTACGCCGTTGCATGGAAGAAACACCTTCGAGGTCTGGATGTTCCCTCCACTTTTAATCCGTCCTGGAGTAACTGGTAAACGCTATGAAAAACAGCCATAACGGGAAGACAAGGTTTTATCTGCTTGTCAGGTCGAGCTAAAATTTTTGGACATTTTTTAAACGACATTTCAGGTCGATGCCGTGTGTGGTCATCATTTCCACACCAATCAGCATCTAAGCAGCAGTCAAACTTTGCGTTCTCGCCGCTTTTGCATTACAGATCCCGTCCCGTTAACACGCGCCCGGGTGGCCGGTTGGATACACTTCGCTCGGGTGGGGGGTCAATTTGACCCTCCTGAGATCCCAGGAACTAAGGGAGCTAGAGAAACCAAATTCATAGGGTGTGTTAGCCTGTACGAGAACTCACTTGGTCCAACTTTGAGGCCCTTAGGTCATAGCTCTCGGGTCAAATAAGGTCAAATTTCAGGTTAGTCTTACAAGGGCCCTTAGAGCCTAGATAACTGCTCTAAGCAAAAGTTCACATGTTCATCTGAGGTCAGTAAACTTATTTGACTTTTTGAAGATCACTGTGACCAAAATCATACGAGACTGCTCTGAGTTTTGCATTTGGTTAAGCGATATAGATTACGCTAAGCAGCATGTTCCAAAAATGAGATCCTGACCTGAGTCATTCTAGGTCGGTGACCTACTCTGACCTTTAGGAAGTCTATAGAAGGCGTATAATGCGATTTATATTATCAATAAATTCGAAATGAGCACCAGGAACTACCCCATGCAACAAGTCCTAGAACAATAAAGCAGATTGATTTTGACCTTGGCCTGACCTTCATACCTGACCCTATGTCAATGTAGTTTGTTCATTCAATTGTTGTGTTGCCTAAGAAAGTATTTCAGAGCTGTATGGCTTCGTCTACCACTCCGTTGTTGGATCAAATTGAACGATTCCCTAGAAATTGTCTTCGCTGAAACCATGGCCTGATTTCGACCTGACCTGTAAGCGACCTTACTAGGTGCATCTAAACTTGTGATGGCAGACGATTCGCTATTCACATGTCTACAGCTGTGCAAAATTGGACTATTCGGAGCCATTTTGAGAAAACCTTTGGAGAAGGGGGTCAGTTTGACCCCTCTCCGAGGGCGTGTTAAACAAATTAAGCCATGTGAACATGTATTAATGTACATATGTACCCTATGTTCACAGGTGAGGTCAACCACAAATTCGAGATAAACACTGTGCCTGTATAAGGATATTTTGTTTGATCGAGTTGAGTGGGCGCACTAAAAACGTTTCCCAAGCTTATTTTTCAGAACGGTTCGCTGCTTGTTGACGACAAACACCAACTTTCTTTCTCTACCACATGCAGAATAATGGAGCATGCCACTTTCAATTTATTGCGTACCCCCTCGATAACTTTGCACTACTATCTGCATTACTTCCGCAATGCGGCTGCCATACAGTTCACTGGTCCTAGGTTAAAGTAAAGCTTCGCAAAATATGGCGGCGCTTGGCAAAATTACACAACAATTTGATGAAGCAAATAACGATAAAAGCAAATACAAAAGCGAGCAGAGGTTGGTAGGTAAGATAAGCAAGCAGAGTAAGGTAAAAGCAATCTGAGGCTGGTGCATAACTTATTTACTTTACATTACGTCTGCCATTACGGCTGTCTTGTGGACTTAATCTTTTTTGACGACATTTACTATTCGACGTAGTCAGCTATTCCTTTCTTGTTCGCTTCATTGCCGTTTCAATCACTTCGAATCCATTGCGCTACTTAATGCCATTCACTTTGTACAGAACACGACAGACATATTTCAGAACATCATTGACCGTGTGGATAACTCACGAGTAGCCAAGATCTGCTCATAGGCAGCACGTCATGCCGGGCATGAAGACTTCTCATTTTCACATCATACCGCGACCGCGGTTTTCCCGTCGTCCTCTCAGGACTGACTCCGCCCCTGCGCCTCTCCGTCGACGAAAGTCGCCGCTAGGTGCCAGCACAGGCGGCATGTGCCAGGCTCCGCCCACTGGCGACTCGGCCAGCTGCCTGCGGCGCCTGCGCAGGCCGACGTTGACGTCAAACTCGTTGCCCAGCAGGATGGGGATGGTGGCCAGCAGCGTGGCGGCAAAGGCGAACACCAGCATCTCGTTCTGCAGATTGCCGTCCGAGTCGAGCAGGTTGCCCAGCTCCGAGAGGCCCATTCGCGGCTGGGCGCCCGTGACCCCGGCTGGGGAGCGAGCAGCGCACGGTCAAAGGCGTGGTAGGCTGCAGCGGTGGCCTGGCCTAATGTTTTGCTTGCATGGAAATAATGTATGCTTTGGTGCACACCTCGCCACGCTTGAATTTTGCGAAGCCAATGCGACACCCTTACTAAGTGGGTTGACTTTTTAAAGGTCCTTTGTTTTCCAACACTATCAGGAACTGATCATTACCAGCCTGAAATATAATAAGAGCAACTGGTTAAGCTAAAAGTGGTTTCATGTCCAAGTTGAAGCCTTATAACCAAAGGGTGCGAGGCTGGGCGCAAACAATGCCCTTTGAAGGCATCACCACATCTGACAACACGTTGCTTTTTCCTCACTTCATGCCTATTGATTTTTAGAATATTCGTCGCTCCTGTACTTTCCGCTTGCACCTTTCATTTGTACGGCCTTGCAAACAGCCTGCTACACGTGACTTAAACGTATTTACATATACTAACAAATGTAAACACAAACTACTAATGAAAGACCTACGAGCAACGTCATTGCAGGACACAAGCATATCTTATTGAGAGTGCGGTTTAGATCTGCTTTTATCAGCTATCAGCAACATTCGTCGGTGACGGAGAAAACCCATGCCCAAGAAAGAAAAACACAGCCTGCGGAGAAACAGTCAAAAAGCAAGCACGACGAATCACGCGCACCACGTAACCAACCTGACGCCTCCGCTGAAGAGGACAGGACGCTTCCCATCCTGGCAGGCCCCACCGCCCCAATCCCCGCGGCTCCGCCTACACGATGGACCGCTGCCGGCCGGCCAACTTCATGCGATGGCGAGGCTCTGCGGGCGTCTGTGCAGGCGGGCGTCGCTTCGGCGGCCGGTGGCGCGGGCACTGCCGCTGCCGCTGGCCGGCCCCTCTCAGCGGCCCGTGCCGCGCGCAGCGAGCTGTGACGGGTTCGCGCCCGCCTGCCCTCGTCACCGCTATGTGACACAGTGTGCACGTGTGGTGCCGCATCAGCGCCGAGGGCTGGGGCGCCTGCGCTGGCCGGCCTACTTCGGCAGGATTCGGTGGTGGTGGAAGGGTGAGGAGTTGTTGGTTACACCGAGGTGAAGCGTGTCTTTAGGTGGTGCTGAACGGGTTTCTCTAACGACTTCGAACCGTTCAGAGTTTCTGATTGTAGTCGAGCGAAAAACGGATGGTTTGTGTTGTTCTTTTGATACGCCTGCATACATGCAATCCTTCCACCATCGGCAAGAAACGCAGAGGAAACAAGAATGCGTTACGTTAGTGCCCAAGTGGCGCAACATCTGGCAAGCATACCTCCATAACAGCTAGAGCCTCAAATAACCTCAGGACAGTTGTGCGTCAATATTGGTGACCGTAGGAGCGTTGGATTATGCTCGAATATTTTCCGTTTCTCTGCGTATCCATCCAAAGTCATCGTATCATACCGCTCGTTTAGTATTAATAAATTATTTGTACATCACGTTTTCACTACGCTTTATAACGCACGTTTCCGACATTCTATAATTCTTACCTTTTTAGACACTCACCGTTGGTGCATTTTATGCACTCAGTTAACATTTGCCCTGTTTTGTTTGAGAAAATACGTGACATTTTTATTGCGCTTCTTGTGTTCATCTTAGCAACTTTAAAATATCTTTCCATACAAGTCCTCTGTCCCGTCACATTTCATTTCGGAAATATCCGATATTCAGGATTTTGTTGTTGCCACAATTCAGGGATAAGATTTGTGCCTCAAGTGTTATGTTTTATTTGACGCAAGTATTCGAGTGCACCTAGCCTGTGTTATCGCATTTCATTTATTCATCGCACTTTGTCTAAGATACCATTACTTTCACAAAGGCAGCCTGCACCGCCATGCGTTGTAAATGCGTTGAGAAGGTTACAACAGAAGAAAAAAAAAACAATTGGTGCATTAACGCAAACACTGAGCAGCAGGGCAAATAGCATGTATTCGGCCTAGCCCCAATTAGCAATGCTTCGCAAACAGGCCATGTAGCCAATTACTGTCTTCGATGACCGGAAAAGACCACCTGATCAGAACAAAACAAAATATCAGCTCGAGCAGAGTACTTCATGGAGCAATCACAAGTGACATACGAATATTTATTTGCATGCCCGATGTTTGCATTTTGTCTTTTTTCGATCTTGTTTTTTTAACTTTGTCCAGACTGTTAGATAAAATAGATTCTGGAATTGCCGCCAACCCTGAGCAGTGTTTGTTGCGCGAGCCCTCAACCCACCACCTGATGGTGAAAATTCGTGTCCACGGCAGAATCTGGCGGCGAAAGTTTAGCGTGCCGCAATGCTCGGCACGATCCGTCGTGATCTCCAATCCCACCCGATCATCGAAGGGTGGCCGCTACCGCTGGCCGCATGCCACCCCAGCCAGGGATAGGCAGCGACGTTGTAAAACGGCTCGAACCCGTCCCGTCAGGGGCGGGCGAATCAAAAGGCAGGCCTGCATCACAACCTGTGTTACAACCAATCGAGCTATCGGGTTAGACTGGCGGAATCTTGCAGCCACTTTCAGCGGCGGCCTGTTTGCCCACAACGGCCACCGTCGCTGCACTGCAACCTCGGCGCTTTAGAACGAAACCGTGCAATTAGCGTTCCGTGCTCAAAGTGGCATTCCGATTATCCCGACCACAAATGACCTGAGGCTTTATTCCTCGTCCCAGGGCCTTTTTATTCCACTTTTACCATCCGTGGGGTCTCGCATGCACGCTACGCTTGACGTTTTTGCGCATCGCGCGCGGCTACAAGACGACATCGGCAAGAATAGCCTACCAAGATCTCATTTGTTTTGCTTCACCGTGCAGTGCGTTGATATAAGATGGCCGTCGCTAGTACCTGGCAAGAGTGTCGTCGTGAAGCATGATTGGGACTCAGGTGGCTTTAGCCCGCTTTTTTACATGCATTGCCGTAGCCGCAACGCTGGATTCGTACCATTATTGGATGCCTGGGCCTCCTTGAGTATACAAAGCGACATCCCTGACATTATGGACTCGTGCAGTGCTACAACACCTAAAATGTGATTGTCATTGAGGTATGACAACGGGATTCGGAACAAACTCACGTCCTATGCATCTCGAAGTCTCCTCAATTTGTTAACACTTACATAAGTCGCCTTCACTCTTCAGACTACGCTCTGGGACTGGGCACGAGCTGCACCGTCCCGTTTCCGTCCCGTTTAAACACATCGAGGCGTCAGTAAGTGGGGAAATGGTGGGGTCGTTGTGTCCGGTCATGCTGAACCGATCGAGTTCTGATATCGGCAGCAAGAGAACCACCGAGAGCAGTTCAGTGGCAAATGCTCGTAGAGTCAGTGGCTAACAGGGTCCGTCGTAAGCAGATCCAGTCATGCTTGCCCGCCCCGCTTATTTGCGGGTGAGCGGGGCCAATGCCGCCTCCGGGTTTGGCCACACACTCTCGGCACCCGATCCGGTGGCCTGTACAACAACGCCGGCGTCGACAGGCAGCGCGCTGCGTGTGAGGGCTGATGATTGTGCTTTTCAAACGGAGGTCGATGGCATGTGTACAGCTGGAACGGCTAGAGCAGTGGACGCCACAAAATCGAGCAAAGTAATGAACGCCATAGCAACGAGTAGAGAAGTGGACGCCACAAAAACGAATAGAGAAGTGGACGCCGCAAAAATGCGGTGTGCACGACGCCAGGTTTGGTTGGAAGAATCGCACAACAGAACCAATAGTCATCGATTGGAAGAATCGCATACCAAAACAATAGCCATCGAGTGGAAGAAGCGCAGACCAGAACCGATAGCCATCGGGTGGGAGAATCGAAAACCATAACCAAGGGTCATCGATTGGAAGAATCGCAGACCAGAACCAACAGTCATTGATTGGGAGAATAGCAGACCGGAACCAAAAGTCACCGATTGGAAGAACCACAGACCAGAACCAATGGCTGTCGATTGGAAGAATCGCAGACCAGAACCGATAGTCATTGGTTGGGAGAATAGCAGACCAAAACCAAAAGTCATTGATTGGAAGAACCACAGACCAGAACCAATGGCCGTCGATTGGAAGGATTGCGGACCAGAATCAACAGCCATCGATTGGAAGAATCGCAGCCCAAAACTAATAGCCAGCGCGGCTTGGGCCTGACAGGACCTTAAGTCAGAACTAAGATACAGACTGATTGAGCTGATAGTCGGAAAGATGTTACGCATGCGAGCGCAGGAGATGTGCGACAAGAAGACCAGGTAGTCGTGGCAGCGGAGTGTGGTGGAGAATGCATTGGACTATTTCACCCAAGTTAGTGATTGACTTTACGCCAGGCCTCTGTCATCCCTTCAACGGCCACAGGGCTACTTATTCCACTGACGTCATCAGCTCCTGTCCAATCGGACGACTCCCGGTCACCTCACGGTGCAGCTCCCAAGTTAAGTTTACGGGCAAGCGATGACGCCGCAGGACCACGTGACTTATCAATCAAATCGTCAGATGGCCGTATCTGGTATACGGCACCTTGTTTCACGACACTGTTTTATAAGACCATATGCCAGTGCAGAGTTCCTTTAGACTTGGAGAGATATTTTCAGACCGCACGACGCCATCTGAGCCTTGGAGGCGCACATCATAATTTGGGACGCCTTTGTTATATTTTTAGAGCATCTCAGCCTTGTTCCGGATATATATATATATATATATATATATATATATATATATATATATATATTGTCCGCCCACGGTGGTCTCTGAGCCCTCAGCGGCCCCATAGAGGGTATGGTGCATCCTTTTTCCTTAAGGCACGCCTATTGCCAATGGGACGTATTTTCTCATTATAACGGCAGTATTCGAACCATCGGCGGCTGTTTTCTATTGTTGGAACGTTCCTTCAATGTTAATTCGTTCTTGTCGCTCTCGAGACATTGTTGGGAAAATTGCACTTCAGAGTTACGTAATCTCTTACGAGTGCATTTCCTGCCAGAAGTCAGCCTTGTTTGCCACCTTCGAGGGAACTGTCAACGACATGGCCTCGAAAAAAGCTATAAACCAACAGCTGTCAGAGTCAGAATCATTAGATTTGTAAATGCTCAAACGATATGTAAACTGGGCTAACAGTAGTTTTGAAACCATTCTCAAAACAGCTCGTGTTTATTCTGGAAAAACAGAAAGTGCCGTCTATGTTTGCCCTCGAAGGGTGACAGCTAGTCGTTTTAACACGCGCCCGGGTGGCCAGCCAGAGATACCCTTCGCTCGGGGGGGGAGTCAATTGCCCCCCCCCCCCCCATAAAGATCTCGGGAACTAAGAAATCTAGAAACACCAAGTTTACAGGATGTGTTGACCTGTACGTGAACTCACTTAGGTCAAAGCTTGAAGTTCTTAGGTCATGACCTTCGGGTCAAATAAGGTCAAACAGGGTCAAATTACAGATTGGCCTCCAAAGTGCCCCCAGAACCTAGATAGCTTTCTAAGCAACAGGTCACAAGCTCATTTAAGGTCAGTGACTGTTTGACCTTTCAAAGGTCATGGTGACCAAAGCCATACAAGACTGCTCCGAGTTTTGCATTGGAGTAAGCGACAAACATTACGCCAGGCAGTATGTTCTTGAAAATAAAATGCCGACTTGTGTCATATTTGGTCAATGACCTATTCCGACGTCTAAGAAGTCAATGGAAGATGCATAATGCGATTCCTGCTGTTAATCAATTTCAAATGAGCACCCGAAACTATCTCATAAAGCATTCTCTAGAACAGCAAAACAGGTTGGTTATGACCTTGGTCTGACCTTCATACCTGACCTGGGGGCAACGTAATTTGCTCATTCAATATTTGTGTTGCCTCAGAAGGCATCTCATAGATGCATGGTTTCGTCAAACACTCCGCTGTTGCGTCAGATTTAGCAATTCCCTAAAAATTGCCTTCGCTGAAACCATGGCCTGACTTTGACCTGCCATAGGTCAGTGACCTTGCAAGGTACATTTACTTTGTATATCGAAGGATTTGCTATTCAATTGTCTACAGCTATGCAAAATTTGGCGCAGCTACGCCGCGCCGTTCGGAAATCCTTCTGGAAAAACCTTTGGAGGGGGGTCAATTTGACCACACCGCAGATCTTGTCCCTAGCTCCGGAATGTTACGCCTTCAGCACTAGTTGGGTGCAAATATTTTTGCCGTTGCGATATTATTCGCTTACACAGCGTCGCGAAAGACTTGAGGCCCCTTTCCATGAAGTCGTTTGATTTTATCTTCACTCACTTTATATGCAGTATGCTTCATACAGACGACTTCAAACAGACGGCGTTTACCTCTCAGGCAAGGGCTCTCGGTGAGCGCGTACACTCGTGTGTACACTCGGCGTGCCTGGTAAGGAAAACGAAGGCTAATGCTCAACACAAGCGCTTTCCACTATTGAGCATTCGATGAACCAAACACAGATCACTTGTTTCTTTGTGATAATATATTCCTCAAAAATATGTACAACTATTCTCGCGACGGACAGTAACTATGGGCTCCCATAAGCTCATATCACAATTTCCACGGCACCATTGCAGATAATTGCACAGGGCATGAGCAGACTAGCAGCAGTGGCGTCACCTGGCTGAGAGGCCGACCACGGGGGCTGGTGGCCGAGGACGCTGCTGCCGGCGCCAGAAGCCTGCAAGCATGTGAGGGCTCGCCACACGTGAACAGTTCACCGATAACACCCGATATTCATAAATACAATCTCCTTAAAACGCCAAACACCTAGAGCTACGCGGGATCAAACTCACCCTGTCAACAAAATATAACCATCTGCGATCAGGACATGGACTGGGTAGCTTCAGCAGAAACAACCTGGAGCACTTGAGCGGTCACCTGCATGCCGGGACAAACGCTACCCGCGTCCTCATGAGACGCACTGTCACGCTTCACATGGGTCATAGCGCATCCGCAACAAACTCGCGTCAAAAATATATGCTATAGGAAAGCTCGCGGCATTGTAAATTATCTAGACAGGCGTTGGTCCACGATACAGCCGAGGACGCCCGAGAGAGCGACAGGGCGGGCTGGACGGCCGCTGCAGCGTGTATCCCTCCGCCGCGTCATTTATCGGACATGATTGTGAAATCGCTGGCCGCTGCAAAGTTCTGGGCAGTGCGAAGTTGCCCACTGTCACATACCCTACAACAGCATAATTCTCCTAGATTGCACTGGGCCGACGGACGATTGGCGCAGCGTGGACAGACGCCGTTGACAGTCTGTTCGGCCACGCAGCGGACGGTTCGCCACACCTGCTGCCGCCCAGGCGACGTTTGTACTGGTTGAGACGGCGCCCGCCAGAGGCGCCACCGTCGCGCTCAGTGCATCTCCGCCGGCGGCGGCCGCGGCGTGCGCAACGAGCTGAAGGGCGGCAGCGGCGGCTGCGCGGCCGGCAGCACCACCACGCGCTGGTGCAGCGCCGCTGGCTGCAGGAAGCGCGCGCGCTTCTTCGGCGGCAGGCCGGCCGTCTCGGCCCAGCCGGCTGCCAGCCAGGCCCTGCCGTCCGCCGTCAGGTCACCCGCCGGCGGCAGGTCGAAGTCGAGTCGGCGCTGCGAGCGGGCGCGCTTGGCGGCGGTGCGGGGCGGCGGCGGGGCGGCGGCTTCGGCGTCGGAGGCGTCCGACGGCTCGCTGGGCGCTGGGGAGAGCGGGTGCGACGGCAGAGGGCCGGACAGCGGCGGCCACTCTTCGCCAGAGCTGTAGCCGGCCGGAGAGGCCGGGCTGGCCGAGAACTCGTCGCCGCAGGCGCTGTCCGGGCTGGCCGGACTGGTCGCCGGCAGCGCCAGCAGGGCGGCCACCTCCGCCAGCGGTGTGCCAGGCTCAGAGTCCCACTGGGCGTCGTCGTCGTCCACCTCGGCGTCCTCCGGCACCACGCCGCGACTGTCCGCCGGCAGCGCCTCCTCCAGGTCCGAGTCAAGCCAGCCGAACTCGCTGCAGCAGTAGTGGTAATTCTGTGGGACAGGGTGAGAATCGGTTAAAGGGTAAAGGGCATAAATCTCACGGCAATGCCTTCCGTTTTGGCGCGTTCCTCATGCGCCAAAACAGTTGTGGTAAAAAAAATACAGTGAAACGCGCCAAAACAGGCGCGTTTTACGGACAGCTTAAGTTTGAAATTCACCCCCGAAAGACGTGTTTAATTAAAAAACGTTAGTTTATATTCAATACCATAGCCCTGTCCACTGCGCACTGAAAAAGTGCAGCGTCATGTGCTGCCACCTTACGGCGAGCTGCTCACCTTGTACTTGGCGGGATTGTCGTAGGCGCTGTTGGCGCCCTTGTCGCGGCGTTCCCTCTTGCCGGACGGGACGCCAGAGAAGGCGGAGGGCAGGCGCGGCTTGTCCACCTCGGTCGGCAGCTCTCGCACCACGCGCCGGATATCGAACGGCGGATCGTCGTGCCGACCCGAGGCGATGGCCGCCCAATCCAGGTCCTGCAGGGAGGAGGGGTGTCATATACGGCTGCTGCACCCGCGCCTTCTCATACACGTTACGGGACACTGGTACGAATAAAATTGATCGCTCACAGTATATAATTCCATATATGTCGTGTCTCTACCGAAAGTGCAGCAGGATCGGGTTATTTTAAGCGCAGACTAGCGATGTATCTTAACCCCGAAACCTCATAACTTTATGGCATACGATACCACCCAGCGTCATGGGATATCGCACATTCATTATACTACATTCATTTTACGAGTGAACGCCGCTCCGCGATCGTGGCTGCTAATAAGGTATGACCTCTCTCAGTTTTATGCAAGCGGTACATTGCCGCATTCCACACGCCATCAGTTACTAGATTATGGGTATCGTGCTAACGTGAGAACGCGCCTGTGTCTGAATAGCCTTGACTGAGTGAGGTCGCCCAGCATTCTTGAGCCCTCCGGCATAACGTTCCCCGCAACATGCCGACAGCATCTGCAGGGTGCTCCTGCTGACTCTCCGTCGGGCATACGGTGCCATCGGCGTCGACCGGCGGCGGCGAGCGCCACCCACCCGAAAGAAGGCGTGCTCCGGCAGGCTGGCGGCTGTGGGCCGGGCCGTCGGCTCCCGCTGCAGCAGGTCCTTTACCAGGCGCAGCGCAGCCAGGACAAGCGGCCGCTCGTGTGACAGCAGCGCCGCCAGCTTCTCCTCGACGAAGGCGCGCGGCAGCTCCACGGGCTCGTGCAGAATCGCGCTGCGGGCGGGAGGGCCGGTCAGCGGCGGCGCAGCGAAAGTGAGCTGGCGGCGTCACGGCCGGCCGCCGGCGAAAGTGGCGGCCGGCCGCGCGCGCGCCGCACGGCTGGCTCGAGCTACCGACGCGGCCAGCTCGCGACGCAGCGCGCTTTCGCGGCGAGCTGGCGGCGTCGGCGACGTCTCGACTCCGCCGATGACGGGGCAGACGGCGGGCGGAGGACACCAGGCGCGCGCGGAAAGAAAGAGAGAGAGAGAGAGAGAGAGAGGACCGTGCGTGGACGGCGCTGGAGGAGGACATCGGCGTGCAACCGGGAGGTGCCTCTGGACGTCGTCGGTGAGGGCAGCACGACCGGTCCGGGCGCCTCACACCGCCAGCTCCGCGGCGCATCAGAATCCTTTCACTTTCGACTCGGCAGGAAAGAGAGAGGGGGCGGCGGCGGAACGGGGGCAGTAGGCCGGGCTTGCGACGGCGCGGGCTGACGCTGGCAAAGGTTTCAAGAGCAGGTCAGCTGACGGGGCGGCCTGGGCTGCGAGCGGGGGAGGACTCGCGCTGCCTACCCCCGTGTCACCACAGCGCAGCCTGTGCCACACTCGCACCGCGCCAATGCCTGTGCCTGTGTCAATGCCTGTGCCTGTGCCTGTGCCTGTGCCTGTGCCTGTGCCTGTGCCTGTGCCTGTGCCTGTGCCTGCGCCTGTGTGTGCCTGGCCTGGCCTGTGCTGGCCTGTGCCTGCGCCTGGGCCTGTGCCTGTGCCTGTGCCTGTGCCTGTGCCTGTGCTGCACCACGCCAATTTCACGTCGCAGTTGGCCCCATCCAAAAACGGACCAATGCGAACAGATAGATGAGCTCCAGTAGCTAGGGCAGACTTCCGTGGACTCGAACGGGCGCAAAGAGACCCCAGGCCACCATCCACGGACTTTTCCTGAACACCGAGTTCACATCGGTGCGCACATAGCCCTCGGGCGATCGAGGGACTCCGGCTCGATGCTCCGGCCGGCCGGCGCCGCCGCGGCTCGTCCAGGCATTGATTCCAGGACGCGTGGTACAGCAGCGCGGCACGCCTCCGCTGGCAGGCGCGCTCGCCGGTGCGGCAGGGCTGAATGGCCAGAGCGCTTTTGGTCGCGGGATCCGCCAGTCCCGCGGATGCCCTGATAGCGATATTCGCGGCTGCGGTGGGTCCACCGCCCGCTGGGATCCGCCGCAAGAGCGGGATACAGCACCACGACCGGTTTACAGTCGTGGTCGGATCCACCACGGCGGAGGGGTCCACCGCAGCGGAGGGTCCAACCAGCTGGGGTGGGTCCAAGCGGCTGCGGTGAGTCCAGGATATCCAGAGGTTCGGCGGAGCTCGAACCCCGTCCGCGTTGATCCAGTCCCAACGTGGTCGGGGCTGGATCAGTGGGATCGGTGGGCGGGATACGAGCGGTTTGGATGGCATGGGCGTACACGTGGCAGGTCTGCGTCATCGGACGCTGTGTGCACTCAGTGTCGCTACGCGGACAAATGCCAACATTTCCCACGTTATGTTCAGTGTGGAGTACACGTGGTCTGAGACTGGCAGTGCCCTGCTTAGTAGCCGACACTTAAGAACGGAAAACCATCTCGCGTGGCATTGGGCCATTTGACTCGGTGACGTCACACTCGGTACTTACTGCTCCAGATCCGCCAGCTCGCGTCCCTTGAAGGGCAGCTGTCCCACAATGAGCTCATACGCAATCACACACCGAGACACCAGGACGTCTGCTTCCGCGGAGGGGACACGCAAGTAACAATCCACTTTTCTCCTCGGAACGCCAGGTCATCCAATGTTCCCTCGGACACGGGGTCACAACTGTTCCCTCGGACTCGGCAGGTTATCCACTGTTCCTCGGGACACGGAAGGTTATCCACTGTTACTCGGACACGGAGGTTATCCACTGTTCCCTCGGACACGGCAGGTTATCCACTGTTCCCTCGGACACGGCAGGTTATCCACTGTTCCCTCGGACACGGCAGGTTATCCACTGTTCCCTCGGACACGCATCACGACAGGGCCCGCGAGTGCTGTGGCCGTAAGGCAGGCCATACAGCACTGCGAGGAGACAATGATGGCTAAAAAAACGGTCTGGTGCCCTGAGAATCATTGGAAGCAGCCTCACATCAGAGCGACAAACGACTTCATTACAGCCATGGTTTGCACTCGAGTTGTCATCGCCTTACCACCGCAGTGGCAACTATTAGTCGTCGTCCCCCCCCCCCTCCACACACACACACACACTGCCCCCCCCCCCCCTTCCCTCCCTGGGCTGGCATGGGCGCCGCCCCGTGTGCGCGCCCTGTGGCGACGACCACTGACGCGTCTGGCCCGTGTCGCCACGCCGGCGGCCGTGGGGGGGGGGGGGGGGGGCGCACGTGTCTGGCCGAGCCGCCGCCGCCGTGCGGCAAGAGATCGATTGGTCGCGCCCGTATGGCGCGCGTGGCCTCCCGGGCAGGCTCAGCGCCCGCGGTCAGGCCGGTGGCGGCGGCAGTCGCGGCGCGCCGGCCTGCTCGCCGTCGCTGGGGCACCAGCGCCCACATTCCGAGAGCGCGCGCCTTCAGAGGCGGTTGGCCTGTCCCGGGCGCACGAGGTCGGCCCGCGCGGCCGCCCCGCGGCGTTCCGCGACGGCGGCGCTCGGTGTGGAAGCATCGCGAGGCGCTGCTTCGGTCCAGTCCGCAGCTCAGCCTCGAGCGGCTTTCACTTTCCGGTCGGCCGACCCCCCCCCCCCCCCCCCCGCCCTCGGTGCCGCCGTCATCGTCGCGCGACGGCGGGCGTCGCGGGACGCCAGGCTCTGGTGGCTGGCTGGCCGCCGGTCGGCCGGAGCGGCCCGGAAGACGACGGGCAGGCGCGCGCCGTGTTGTAACCGGCGCCAGTGGCCCACTGACCCAATTCCCGGGTCAGCTGCGCCCGCACCGTCACGCTCCCCCTGCGCGCAGCACGCACACCGCGGCGATGCCGAGGCTTCTGACCTGACAGACCTGAGAACCCAGGGGCCAAGACCAAAGGCTGACACGGAGCGAAGTACCTGCTCGGCGACGACACGTGCGCGCAGTCGAACAAAAACCGCCGCGCGTCACCTGGCCGAAGGCGACGCGGAGCGCACGGTCACTGTGACTGGCAGCAGTCCGAAAATGTCCGCGGCGGGGAAGAAACCGACAACGGCGTAGCGCGCGTGCTTAGAACAACACCAGGCGCCTGTCCAGAGCCACGCCACTTTTGCGCATCGGAACCCACGCGGCGACCTCTGGGGCAGACGCCGCGGCGCCGCGCAATCGCGTCTAATAAAGCCATCCCACTCAGGACTAGACACAGAGCGCTGACCCCGACGACAATGACGTGGTCAGCGCTCGATAAGCACCTCCGTCGCGTCGCGGCGCCCGCGATGGGTGCGAAGTATTGGGCGGATCAATGATATCATCAATGATTTGGTCGCACGCTGAAGCCGGACGGTGCGAGATTGTCATTGTAATTTCCTTGGCGATCTTCCTCTGAGGCGACATGTAAAGATGGGGCCAGGCAGACAAGCACCGCGGAAAATAACACTGGGTTCGGCACCGCCCACAACAGGCCGCTATGAAGGACAACGCGCTATCGGCTCATCAAGACGTCTCCCTGCGGCTGCCGTATTGACATTAGCCAAATTACGTAACTTCAAAGAATTACGTAATCCAGGCCTCATTTGCGTGAACGCACCGGTTGAAAAGCGCCAGCACGGGTACGGACAGCCTCGCGCAGCGTCTGTTCGCCGCCCCGAAGCGTGTGCGTGCCCGCTGGGCTGGAGGTGACCGCGCAGTGCCGGCGCCGGACGGAGCCGGACCTCGGCAGGTGTGCCGGGACGGCGGCGGCCTGGCCCGGGCTCTGCGGCTCGTCACAGACACGACAGCCCCGCTGGCTGACGATCCGCCGACGACAGGCGACGTCGGCGGGCGGTGTCGGGGGCCGGCCTGCCGCCGCTGTCGGGGACGCCTCGCGCGCGGTGTCGGGGACGCCCCGCGCGCGGTGTTGTTTGTCCCTGTGTCGGCGCGACGTCGCGTTTCTGACGTCCTCAGCTGATCAACACCGGGGCTGCGCTGTCCTGACGGCCCCTCCCGGGGGGGGGGGGGGGGGGAGGGGGGAGCAGCCCGAGGAGAGGGGAGGGGGGGGGGAGACGCATGGCGCGTGGTACCGACAAGTTGCGGCGTGTACTCACGAAGCTGTACTGCGTGGCCGGTCCGTGCGCGCCGCTGGAGCGGATCACCTCCGGCGCCATGTAGTCGGGCGTGCCCGTCTTGCCCGTGATCAGTGTCTGCGGAAGCGGAGACCGCGGTCACACACACAAACACATGCCCGGACTGGAGGAGGGGTCAGACGTTCCACGCGTGCATCGACCGCGGAGCCGCCGCCGCGCCGAGCAGCGGCGCCGGGGTCGCAGCCTGGGCTTGCCAAACGGACACCGCTCCTGCCCGGAAAAGGCGTGGCGAGGCGGCTTCTCAGCACGCACGCACGTGACACTGGCGGGCGCGGGGGCTGAGGCGCCACATGTGTGCGCCCAGTGGCCACGGATGAGCGCGCCGTGATGAGCACGCTGAAATGCCGAGCGCTGGCACGCGATGCACGAGCTTTTCTGTGCACAAAGATGAGTGACGCAACTCGGTTCTCGGACGGCTGGCGGGTCACGCGGCGATGGCGGCCGCGGTGGCAAGGAGTAACGGACAGGTGCACGGTCTCTGCACCCAAATGTCCGGTGCGGAACAGAGAGCAGGATTGGCTTTGTTCTAATCGCCACGTCTCACGCGGAGACCGACGGTTGGCGGGGCGTGTAGCGCACGTACAGGAGTAGCAGCGCAGCCTGAGGAACGGCGACGCACGTGGATGGGACGGGCCAGCACAACAGACCTCTAGGCAAAGATGAACAAATATTTTTCGCTCGGGTGCTTGAACTTTGCACGGGAATACCGGGAGGCTTTCGTCAGGAAGTATGGCTGCAGTTAAGTGCATTTCAAAGAAGACAACCAAATGGTAAAGAGGTGCATGGGTTTCTTGACCGTTCCTGCCTGTGAGGATCTCCTCCAATTACGAAAAGAAGATATATTAAGCCACGAACTCCATTCCGTGGAGGGGCCTTTGCAGAACTCCATTCCGCGCCTGTAGCCAGAACCTCTGCGTCGGTTCCTTGTATAGACTGGCGGACGTCGATATGATATCACGGCTGATGACGTAACCACGGTGTTACCAGTACAGATCAAGGATGGAGATGTCGGGTCTCTTACCGATTCGCCGGCTTCAAAGTGTCTAGACAGACCAAAGTCCGCTAACCGGATATGGCCGTCCCCGAAGACCAGAATATTTTCTAACTTCAGGTCCCGATACAGGATGCGGTGCTGAAAAGGTCAGACGAACCAGGTCAGATCCCAGCTCCCGCAACAAACATGATCGACCAGCTATGCCGAAACCTAAGCGCACGGAAGCTTCGCGCTCTTGCAACAGCTGGGCCGTGGTGGCCTTGCATTCCGTTCGCCCTTCCATCGCAGTCGAAGGCTAGCTGCCCCTCCCCTCTCCTCTCTCTCTCCGAGCGATCAGGGCACAACCCGCTTGCGACACCCCTCGCAGCTGATCGCACCTGGCGACAGATCATGCAGGATTGATTCCCCCCGTCCACCTGCTGGGCCTCACCTCGTGCAGCGCGCAGAGAGCGGCGCTCAGCTCGGCCAGGATGATGCGCACCCGGTCGACGTAGTGCGCGTACGACAGCACGAACATGCGGCGCAGGTATCCCGGCCGCTTGCCCGGCCCGGCCAGAGAGAACAGGTCCTTGCCGACGGCGTAAGCTGGGGACGAGCGGAGCGCCGGTCAGTACCCACCCCAGCGAATGGAATGTTGTGACAAGGAGGCAGAACTTCGAGCGCGACTCTCGTGCGCCAGCTGTACGATTGCGTCAGTTCGAGAGGTCCCAACAGATAGCGGCGGCGTCAGCTCGAAGCGAGACGACTTGTACACCGACGTCTTGAAAGATTCGGGGGTGAGTCACAGGCGTTGATTCTGCGATGGACCTCGCCCCCCCTCTCACCACCACTTTGCTGTCTCCCGACCCGACCCTCTCCGACTGCCGCGAGCTCCATTAACGCCATTGCACCCGCGTGCCCACACGAGCGCTCCACCGGCGGCCCGTGCGATCCGCACACAGCAGGAAGCGAGCTCGCCTCCCCCCCCCCCCCCCCCCACGATCCGACCCCAGCGTCAGCCTCCGCGCCCTCTCGTGGTGCTGACGCGCCATCGTTGCGCTCGCGAGGCCGCGGTGCTGCCCGTGTTCCCGGCGCCGCTCGCCGCAAGGTCATGTCGCCACGTGCCGGTGGTATCGGCGTGGCTCTGGTTTCTTCAGGTCGGCCGAGCGCCCAGCCGACTGGACTTTCCCGACTGAGCTTCCCGGCAGGCGTCTGCAGCTGCGACGTCTGCGCTGGTGTAGTAAGAAGCGTGCAGCCGATCCCAAACTCAAAAGCAATGGGAAAATCCCGCTTCGCTTTACCTTATGGTGTGTGTTTAACAAGATTAGCTCAAATCCGTCCAATGGAAACGGAAACAGCTGTGCAGTGCTGCTCAGCGGGTGTGCCACTCGCAAGTTCACCGCCGTAGCCAGTGTACCGGCTGTACAGCTGGCCAGATACGTGACCGGTTCGACCCTCCGGTCGGCCAACGGGCACTGATCGCGCACTCCAGTACGCACCGCTCCACAGCGCCGGTGCCCGACCAGTGACACAAGGCGATGGTGCAGGTCAAGGCCGGGCGCCGCCGGCCGTGCCAGTCCCGCGTTTTCGAGCGGTTTTTCGTCGGCTCCCACAGCCCGTGCCCTCTCTTTGTCGGCGCCTCCACAAAGGCGGAGATTCCCCGACCGGCGCGGCTGTGGCGCGTGCGGGGCGCCAAGTCCTGCATGCGACTGCTAAATTCTGTCGGGCCGCCCGCCCGCCCGGATCCCGGATCCCGGATCCCGGATCCCGGATCCCAGATCCCAGATCCCGGCTTCAGGGTAAGCGGACGTCGGACGCCCGTTGCGGCCTTCCTGTCCGGACAGTTCAGCACCAGGGAACGATCCCACACCGGACTGGCCGGGCACTGTCAGCTGACTGTGTGCTCCGGTGTGGCGCAGGCGCGTGGGAGGCGGCCCTCCCGATAACGCGGCAGGCCGGTCCGGTATGATGAGGGTGGGTGTGTCGGCGCGCTCTGTCGCGGCAGTGATGGTATCATGCAGACCGTCGCCCCTTCCGAGCGGCGCCTGTGACCACGCCCAGTCCTTGCCAGCGGCGTGCGTAACTATGACGACAAGCCAGCTGTGTCGAGCGGCCCCTGCGTGAGACAGCCTCTCCACTGGGATTGATCTTCAAGATGTTCAATTAGTCTGGCGATTACCACAGGCAAAATTATCATAATCTCGGAAAACGAAGTGTAACTTGTGTGCGAAGGCCCTGTGCTTCATAAGAACCTTGTGTAAGCATTGCGCCACGTAACTGTACCAAACGCGGCCTTCCCTGGACACCTGCCCTGGAGCCGCGGCCCTCTACAGAGGGCGGCACCAGACCCCTACCCACTCCTCCCCGCTTCCCTACCGGGGCTGCCGCCTGCGCGCGCCGGTACCGCCGTACTCACGCAGCGCGAGGAAGGCTTTGGCCGGGGCGGCGCTGAAGAAGGCGTACGCCAGGTCGGTGGTGTAGGGTAGGCCGCGGAGGCGCGGCAGGATGTCTCGCTCGACGAGCGCTGCGCGGCTCAGGCTGCTGATCTTGAGGGCGTAGCGCGAGCCGCGATCGCGACCCGTCCGCTTCTCCACCAGCACAACGCTGCCGTAACCTGCGGACGGAGGCGGCGAGGCGGGTCAGGCGGGGCAGGCGGGTCAGGCGGGACGGGCGCATCCGGTGGACAGGCACCCCACCACTCCTAAAGGGCAGGCGGTCGGGTTAGACGCCGCTGAAAGCCGCGGCTGCCCGCGTGTAACCGTCAGCTGGCGGGGCGGGGTCCTCCGTCCGCAGCTGGCTCAGGCTAAGCACGGTTGGGCCAAGTGGCGTGTCGTACAACTGCATGCCGCACGCAAAGCGCAGGACCACTTGGCTGCGGTCAGTGCATGACGCCCAAACAAAGTGCAACAGCTCAAGATCAAAGTCAAACGAGTGAAAAAATGGGTTGCGGATTATGTAGTAAGAGGTGCACGAGATCGGCCATAACCGGGCGTTGCCTCAAAATCCAAGGTTAAAACCGCCCCGAAACCAGTCGTCGAAGTGCGATATACGCGATATCTGCCTGGGCGCTTGTGCAGCCACCATCGTATCGCAGTCGCACAGGGCGCTCTTAATTATTTGTTGTTTGATCCCCGCCGAGGAGTTGCAACGAGCAGAGATCGAGCGTTTAATGCCGTCTCATTGTCCGGTGGAGTGAGACCGCAGTCATGCAGCATTCACGTGCAGGATAATGCCGCCAAGTGGCCTTCGCTTAGGCAAAGGATAACGGTTTGCAGCCACGCTCCGCACGGCCCCACGTCGTCGGCCGGCCGCCGTGGCGGGAAAAAGACGCGTCCGCGACGGGCAGCATCAGCCGCCATCAGTCGCAGGATCGTCCGCCACTGGCTAGGACAATGGTCGCCGACATTTCCTGGCGAGACGGCGCAGCGGGCTGTCGGCCAACACAGCGTGGCTGGACCTCTCCAGGTGTCGCTGCTGCGGCAAGCAGGCGATGAGCGCTGCATGCAAGCCGCCGCCTCACATTTGATAGCGGAGAAGGTCACTTGCATTGTTGGGCCTGTTGGTTGCTGTGTGCATCTGTCCACGAATCTGTTCATTGACTGCGTCAATGGCGCATGGCCAAGAAGGATTAAACATTCACAAGTCAAGGCCATGGCGCGGAGTAGTGCCTCCAGCACGTCGCCAGGCTAAGCCTGTCCGTACGCCACCGCTCGTCGCCGAGGTCACCAGACAGTTGCATCGCGTTGGAAAACATCGTCACAGCGCGGCCGTCCGCCGCGGCCCGGCGACAGAAGCCGGCGCAGCCGCCGACGAAAGCGGCGCAGGCGCCGCGGCGAAAGCGCGTGCCGTGGAAAGCCGGCCGGCGCGCGAGAGATGTGTTAGTGTGTCAGCGATTGCGCCATCTAGCGAGTGCGGCCGACCCTGGCGGGAACTTGACCCAGTTGGGCCGGCCGGGCCGGCGCGCGCCGCCAGGTAAAAGGCGGGCGGGTCTCCATCCGTGTGGTGACGAAACCGGCGGCACCGAAGGCTGCGCACGGGCCGCCGCCGACGCCGCGGCCACCCGCCGGGCGGGGCGCCGCCGAGGCCGGCCAGTACCGCGGAAGTCACCTCCAGAGGTGACCGCAACCAACCGTTGCTGCTGTTGCGTCGGCGGCGGGGCGTCACGAGCGGAGGCGCTCCGCCTCAGCAGCGCCGCCACATCGGCACGCAGAGACGCCTCGCCTGCCTCCGGGGCCCACCGGCGCCGAGACGACCGTGCCTAGGTCCTGCGAGCTAACGGAACGAACCGACCAGCATAACGGAGTGGCTGGCGTGGACCCCGAGTCTTAGGCGGCCGGACGGCCCCCTCCCCGCTCTCTACTCCCGCCCGGGCAGCTGGCCCGCCGCCCCACCGCAGATGGTGTCCGCCCCCGCCGCCGTGCACACGAGTGCATCGATCGGGCGCAGGTCGGCGGCGCGCCTGTGACCTTGAGCCGCGGCCGACGCCGGAGGGCGGCCGATGCCGACGCCGACCGGGACGTGACGTCACCGTGACGCACACGCACACCGCACGCGCGTCGGCTCGGCACGTGGTCGCGCCGAGAGCGGGGCGGGACGGATCGGAAGCGGCGTGGTGCGCCGCCTCGCGCGCGTGTGGCGAAGCAACCCACGGGCGGCGCGTCGTGTGGCGCAGCGACGAAGCCCGCTAGGCGTCGACGGGGACGGCCGTCGACGGGGACGGCAGCGGCTGCTGGCGCGGACACGCGGACGGGCCGGCCCAGCTCCGCACGAGCTGGTCCGCGGGAGAACGGCGAACGGGAGAAAGAGAACGCAATCCAGACAATGGAGATCAGACTCGGCTGTGCTGGAGCCGTGACAACGACGGCGCATGAGGAGAACTGCAGGACGGCTGATTAGCACATGCCCGACAGGCTGCATTGTCCCAGTAGCCGCGCGGTTACCAAGACGGCTGTTTCGAAAGCGGAATATTGCACAAGGTGGGCTGCCTAACGGACCGGTGTGGGCACGAACCCCACGCACGCACGCAGGGCGAACATTGGGACAAGCGGACCGGCCGATAGTGACAGCACCGTTCGGGCCAGAGAGATAACGAAACACGAAGGGGTTGCTAAATGCCAGGAAAACCTCAAGCTGCTGTCCTGCGGTTGAAGCAGAATCACTATTTGGCGCGGTGCGGATTTGCCCACTCTCTCTGCGGACAGGCCAGACCACGACCGACGAGGAAAGCCACTGCGGCAAACCCTCGGCCGGCCCACGCCAGCGCGCCGCCGGGCGACGCGTGGGCCGGCTGGGACGCCCGTGAACCATCACCTGTTGAGCCTGCCAGGGCCACGCCGGGCTTCCCAGCCCGAGGCGGCATGCCCCTCCCCCTCCCCCTCCCCCTCACGCGCCGTGGCGACTGCCCATTCGCCTGGGCATGCGAGCCGCCAGCCTTTGTGAGCGGGCCACCAGGGACTCGCCCGGGACGCGCTCGGCTGCCGTCGGCGGGAGGGTGCCGCCAGCTGTCCCGCCCAGCCTCCGGCGCCAGGTGGAGCGGACCGGTGCGGTCAACGCACCGGGGCACCCCTGAGCGGGGCCGCCAGCCAGACGATCGCTTTGTTTCCGGCCGGCCATGCGCTGACGGGGAGCGGTTTCCGGAGCCCGGACCGAGACCAGCGACTCTCGGCGGAACCAGGCGGCGCCCGGCGCGCGATGGAGCGGGCATTTCCGGCGCGACGGCCCGAGGCGTTGGCCGGCACCAAACGGCGCGAGGGCGGCTGCAGGGTCACGCCGCGCCGGCGGGCAGCCCACCCAGACTGAGGCGCCCCCCCCCCCCCCCGAATGGACATGGGTACGGCCCGCCCTCACAGGAAGAGCAAGCTCGGCGGCGCGGGGCAGTGCAGGGCGTTACGCCGCACCCGGACCCCTAACTGGCCGCCCACGGTCGGCTGCCGCTCCGCCCCGGCACACGACCCTGTCCTCCGCCCCGTGCCTTGCGCCGGGTTTTGGACGGGCTTCCCCGTCATACTCAGGACCCGGCGCCAGATGCCGACTCGGTCGCCGGGAGATCCCTGTCCGGAGCGGGCGCTGCTCGGCGCTGCTCGGCGCGGCGCGGCGCGGCACGGTTGTTTGTGAAGTGAGGGCGCGGCCAACCTGCACAGTTTTGCCCGGCAGGTACCCTCGGAGTCGTGCTGTTGTGGCCACAGCTCCCATTCCATGCATGCCAGCGGGGCGAACAATGCCTCCACGGCACAGGCGTGCGGACCCGGCGAGGAGAGGGCCGCATACGCGACATCGCTCGCCGATGATAAAGCGGGCGGACGACGGCGGACTTACCTCCGGAACCGAGCTTCTTGATAAAGCTGAAGCAGTCGAGCGATATGCAGTCGCCGACCTGGTGCCGCAGCTCTGCAAAGGAGGGCCGGAGTCAGAGGCTGAGTCAGAGCCCGGACCGGTGGCTGACGCATCGCCTGCCAGTGCGTCACCACGTCCCATGCGTCGGCCCAGTCAGGATCATACTAGCCACGAGCGGAGGTCAGCCGGCGCCGGGAGCGTCGGCCGGACGGCAGCCAGTCATCGGCGCGGCGCCGGCTCTCAGTCGAAAGGTATCGGCGCGACGCCCAGATTAAGACGCCACCCGCGACGGGTAGGAGTCACTGGTCGCCATGCGCAGTTACAGTAACGATAAGACAAACAATGCCGATAAAGACACCATATCAATAGGCTTATGGTTCGCTTGCTGTGCACCCTATTGCCGTGTTGTGTATGTGTGTGTGAGCCGCGCAAGGGGTGTCTCGGGACTTTCCATGCCAATGCCTTAACAAAATACCCATGAGAAAACTGTTCATGCCCGCCGACCACCAGAACCATCCCGAAGCAATGCAGACTTCTCCCAACCACGATTTCCTTCCACCCGTCTGTGACACGAGCCCCCGCACGCGACCGCCTGGGCAGCCGCGCTCCGCCAGAGGGCGCACCGCGCGCCGCCGGCGCCGTCAGCGGCAGCGGCGCGGACCTTCCGTCGGCCGTGGCGTCACCATGCCACCATGGGCAACGGTGGCGTCGGCGGCCATGTGCGGCTCTCGGCCGCGCCGCGTCACTGGCTGCGGCCATCGGGACCGCGCCGGGCCGGGCGCAGACAAAGGCTGGCCGGAGCGGCCTTGCCGGCCGTCGACTGGCGTGCGGTGGGCGTCGGGTCGAGGTGGATCGCCACCTGCAGTGTGTTGGCTCACCTGCGGTCCGCTCTGGCGGCCCTGCCGACCGCCACCGCACGCGCAGCAGCGGCGCAGGTCGTAATTCGCCCTCGTCGACCAGCCGCAGTTGCAGCGAACACGAGCGTGGTGGTTAGGACCTCCATGGCTTGGGAGTAGCACAATTCCAGGTCGAATATGGTCGGTGCGCCGGTGCTGCCGGCTGTGCCATCTGCTGCTCTCCCGGCACCAGCCTGCCCCAGGTCCCACCTGCACCTGCCCCAGGTCCCACCTGCACCTGCCCCAGGTCCCACCTGCACCTGCCCCAGGTCCCACCTGCACCTGCCCCAGGTCCCACCTGCACCTGCCCCAGGTCCCACCTCTCGAACTTGCCCGGCGGCGTCCACCCCACCTGCCGCCCGTCAGCACGAGTGAAACTGTCCAGGAGGGATTTGGGGTCGCCTGACGTACCGCGGCTGCTGTCGCGAGTGGAGACCTGCCGCCAGTCGCGGCCTGCGCTGACGTCAACGCCCTCTGCCGGCCCGGGCTGTGGTCGGCAGGGCTGTGCCGGTCCCCAAGGGCGTGTCCGCGCTTTAATGTGGCCGGTCTGGACAGCGGTCTGGCCTTTGAACTTGGTTATAGTGCTGGCTCAAGCGGCCGGGTCGGCCGGGCTGAGCCGCCTGCCATCGCGGGCAATGTCCCCATCGCCACGATCAGCTGAGACGACGGCCGTCTGTTTGAGCTAGTCTCCATGAGAGCGCAGTAAAGCCAGCGTTTGCTGGTCACCGGTGTGGCAAATCAGGCCCACTCTGTCATGCAACGCGGCCACCAGCCTTGGGACCACAGGCCTATTGTTGTGCCTCGCAGTCCGCGCCAGTCCCGCCGGAGCACAGCAAGCCACCTGCAGTAAGCAGCGCGCAGCGGGGGCGCCCAGGAATAGCCTGCGAGTCTCCACTTTTAGCAATGTTCTCGTTACGGGCGGCATCGCGGCCCGAAATAGCCGCTGCTTCGGCGCCCGGCGGCGAGCGACGCTGCCGTGCGCCAGCGGTGACGTCACAGCGTCGACGTCTCGCACTCGGAGCGCCCGCCGCCGGGGGGGGGGGGGGGGGGGGAGGGGCGGACCCACCGTGTCGGCGGCGGCCAGGTGGAGGCAGCGGCGCGCGCGGCTTCGGTGTCGCTTTGCAGATAGCAGGAGCGGGTGCTGACTGCGCCCCTTTGTTGCCGTCTGCGCCGTTATCTTCACGATGGTCGGCTTTTTCAGAGGCGATATGCAGTGCTTACGCCGGCTCTGGCGGTCCAATTGTCTGGTCGTCACAATAGCGTGTCGCTCTCGCTGGGCGCCAGTGCGTGCCGCCGCCGACGGCCCGCGTCGTTTCACAACGACGCGTCGTCCGTCGTGACGTAACACGGTGAGCCGATGGCGAGCGCGCGCGCGCCGATTTCGTCTCGGCGGTGGTCGTGCGTCGCAAACGAACGGTAACGGTGCGGCGGCAGGGCGGCCGGCCGCGGTCCGGCAGCTGCCGGTCGCGCAGGGAGAGAGAGGAGTACAAAGGGAGAGGGAGAGCGGAGGGAGCGCGGAGGGAGAGAGCGAAAGAAGGTGGGATGGGACAGGGTGAATGAGAGAGGCAAGGGAAGGGAAAACGGGGAGAGAGAGAGAGAGAGAGAGAGATGAGAGAGAGAGAGAAGAGAGAGAGGAGAGAGAGAGAGAGAGAGAGAGAGAGAGAGAGAGAGAGGAGAGAGAGAGAGGAGAGAGAGAGAGAGAGAGAGAGAGAGAGAGAGAAGGGGAAGCAAAAGGAGGTGCATAACGGTCCCAGCTGTCGCTGTTCTGCTGCCGGTGCGGTCTGCCGGCTCAGTCGCGAACACTGCCACTCAAGAGGTCCACTGCGGACACCGCGACTCGTATCCGCCTTGCGACCCGACGACATTTCCTGACCCCGCCTCCTGCTGACAGGAGTGCGCGGCCGTGCTGTCCCCCACCCGTCAAAGCCGACAGCACGAGGCGGCCCCGAGTCGACGGCCGCCTGCAGCGATTCTGACAGGGCCACCCCCGGCACGACGCCCCTGGCGAACCGCGGCTTGGCGGCGGCTGTCGACCTCGACAGGCGTCGATAGGCATCGGGCGACCTCAGCGGCGCGCGGCCAGCGCGCGGGGGCCGGGTGCGGCATGGCAGCTTCCGCGCGGGTGCGCCGTCCCGTGCCGGTAAACAAACGCCGAAGGCTCGGCGGACGGGCGCGCGGCGCACGCGGAACTGGCGGCACTTCCGCGGCCTTCCGCCCGCCGCCGGCGCCGACGCAGCGGCAACACTTTCATGGCCGGCGGCCGGCCGCGCCGCGACGGCAGCCCTGACCCAGTTTGACACGGACCAGGGCTCGGCTGGCGGGTGCCGAGCTCTCGCTCGGCCGGCTCCGGCCGCCCGCAGACGGGGAGCTGGCCGGAGATAGCGCAGATGCACAGCCATCACCGGGACAGCCGGGAGGTAGTTGGAAGGCACGTTGTGCGACCAGGCGTCATACGGAGGATTGTTGATGGTACCAGCGATGTCCCGGGTCGAGGCCTGTCACGTTAGATAAGTGATGACATGCTAATTTTGGATATTTCGACGCAGATTTATTTGCGCTTCACCAGTTCGCGCAATGGCAACGCCACAAACAAACGTCACTATGTCCCGCCCTTCCCTAAATCAAAAACAGGTTGATCTGCAAAACAGTTCGGCGTAGTCGGTTCGTCCGTGTGGACACCGCCGCGGGAAACCCCATATCTCGTTCTCCGTGTTGGAGCATAACGCCGGTGACGCGGGCCGACCAGGCCAGCCCCGGTTGGGTGATTCGCCGAAAGGTGGCGCTGGCGTGCTCTCGGGAAGAGCGCTGCCGGCCCGTGCCGGGAACGTCGGCGAGTCAGAGGCTGCCAGAGTGACGTTTACTGCTGGAATTACCAGGCTCACCGCTAAACACGCTTGCTGACCATACACCCCTGCCCCAGGAATACCACTCTGAGTGCTCTGAAGACCTGGCTTCCAATCATCTTATATTCTAGAGCCTTGGATGGGCTTTAGGAGATGCATGGAAAGGATGAAGCTCACTGCTGGAACCCGCACCAATTCTTGGGAAAGTACGGCCCGAGCCCGTCCCGTGACCATGCGACGCTCACCCAGCCCTGCGCGACGCCCCGAATCCGGCGGAGATTCCGACCGCGTCAGCAGACCCCTGACGTCACGCCCGGTCCGGCGTTGGCCGGCCGGCCGGGGGTTACCACGCAGCCCAGCGCCGATGCCGCTGGGACGACCCACCGTCGCCTGGCCGCGTCACAAGGGTCCGCCCGGCGCCGCCAGACAGTGGCGCCGTCCAGAGCGCCGAGCGCTGACGGCGCCCCGGCAGAAGGAGCACACGGCGCGACGCTCCTGTGCATTCGGTCGCTTTATCGCGGAGCGCTCGAGCGCGACGCATTTTCAGCCTTATTACCGTGAACTACTAACTGGTAACGGGCCGCGCGGCGGCCGGCTCCGCTGGTGCGTCGCGGAGCGTGAAGAGCCGGCCGGGCGGGAGTGCCGCGTGCGGCAGATCTCACCGATAGCAGACCCGGCGGCCCGCGCGCCCGCCAGCCGGCCGGCCCCACGCGCCGCCGAGAACGGCGCGACGAGCTGGGGTGGTGGGTCGCCGAGCGGCTGCGAGGAGCCTTTGGGAGACTGCATGAAGACAGACAGGCAGCAAGAGGGGATGTAGACCGGGTGGGCATACAGGGTCATAGGTCTATCTGACATTCCCGACAAAGATGCTGATGCCGCATAGCCGATGGCTGATGCCTGAAGGTATAGCCTCGGATACAGAAACGGACACGGACGCCACGCTTTCAACTTCAAGCATCTGTTCTGTATATACCAAAGTGCCGGCAACTGACGGCGATCGGCAAAATGTTCTGCGTGGTGTTGCAAATGCATATAAAAAATCACAAAAGCTATCGAGGAGGAGGAGTCAGGGCTCAAATGCTCAAAGAAGTCTGAGACGGCGCCAGGAGACCGCGTTTTCAGCGCTCCGTGGGGAGACTTTGGGCATGCGGAGAGACCTGGAGGAGTCGGGAATAACCCGGCAATGCAGCGGGTACAGCGGAATGACCGTGTAACCCAGCGCTGAGCAGTCCGCGCCTGGCTTGAGGGAGCTCTTCCATCACATGACCTGGCGACGCCAAACGAGCGCCGGGCCAGACAGCGACGGGCAGACATGGGCGGGGCGGGCCAGACGTCGCGACAACGGTGACGTCACGGTGCCCTTGCACGTGCTGACCTCTCGCGCCGCCCCCGGCTGGGCCCCCCCCCCCCCTCTCCGGCTCTGACCGGCGCGGACAGAGCGTCGCAGAGAGAGACCCGGAGAAACGAAAGCATGGCCACGAAGCGTGCCAGAAATGAATGAAAGGAAGTGCGCGCAGGCCGCGGCCGCGGGCGCCGCGCCGCCAGCTGACCCAGTTTGGGTCGACGCGAGAGCGCCGGAGCCGGCCGGCCGGCCGGCCGGTCCAGCCCACAGCTCGCACCGCACCGCGGGTCGGCGAAATGGGTCGGCAGCGGCAGCTGGCGGCGGCGGATCGGTAGCCGCGTGACGGGCTCTCTCCGTTCACTGCACGTCATCGCGGAGTACTGTCCGCTTGCCGTAGAACACATGTCAAAGCTAATCACGCGCTGAGGGCTTTCTTGTTGTTCGGGAGCTACAAAAACCTCCGTCATCGCCTCAGCTGGATATTTGTGGCATTGCAATCACAGACGAGTACAGCAGAACTGCGAGCATTAACCGTGTAAATACGGCTCGCGGGGGATGTCAGCTGATATAGGACATAAGGTTCGCGGTAACCCTCCATTATGACGAGTTACTGAAGCCGAGCATTAGCCTCCTCGAGGAAAAAGGTCAGGATAACGCCACCCACACAGATCATTCAACAAACTTCGGCCGAGGGTAAAGACCCAGTCTCGGTTGCCAACGTTACACCAGCATCACGTGTCAATCAACGAAGCCCTCTGTATGTCTACCAGTTAGCACGTGCCAGCCTGACGTCAGGGCACCAGCAGAGCTGGGGTCCACACCGCCGGGCGGATGGACGGGTCGCCGTCACTCACCTGTCTGTGCTCCGCACTGGCACTGGTGGCCCGCCTCGACAGAGGCGTCGGCACGTGGGCTGCTGGGGCACGACTCGAAGCCGCTCTCCTTGTCCGTGGGCTTCTCGCGCTGGCTGTTCGGGGCGGGCTTGGCCCGCGGCGTGTGCCGCCTGCCGACGGCGCGTCGCACGCACGAGGCCAGGTCAGGGGCGCACGCCCGCGATGATGGACACTGGATGCGCGACATGTCGTAAGAAGGGCGTCGCAGCGCGATATCCCGCGCAATCACCGTCCGCGAGCCGCTGGCACTGTCGCTGGAGGGTCCTCCGCGTCGCCGGTCTCGGGTCGTCACCGCAATCGTCCGACCTCGGTGGCACTCGTCGGCGCTCTGGCCCGTGCTGCGGTCCGGCACGCGCCCACCCGCCGCACTCCGCTGACGCCTACTAACCGATCAGCTGTTCTGACGGCCGGGGCCACCTGACGGCGGGGCTCGGGAGCGGCCGCCCACCGGCGGACACGAGAGCCGGCTGCTCACGCGCCGCGTTCGTCGCCGAACGGGCGGCCGGCCGAGGTCGAACCGGCGCGGGGGAGGGGGCGGGGCGCCGGGGTCACCCGCCACCAGGGAACTCGGCCAGCCACGCGACGTGGTGCACGCCGGCCGCGCGTGGCGCCGTGTAGCTGCCCGGCCGAGCGTTAGGCGGCCCGAAGGCAGGCGCCGAGCTTCGGCAGCGCAGAAGCGTGGGCGATAGACCGCTGGCGCTGCTCGGGGCGTGGCGGGTAGCGCCAGCCCACTGCATGCTACTTGGCACACCCCTGTGCTGAGCCTGTGTCATTGTGTTCCTTAAGCACGGATTAATCAATTTCGAAGTAAGAGGCTTTGTGTGCCACAGATAACAATACAAATAATGTACGGCTAAGATGCAACATACAGTTTATGCAGGCTGACTGCTTATTCGATTAAAGCGCTTACCCAGAAGGGATGATGCAAAATACACTGAAATTTGTAGAACGTGACAGTGAGGGCCTCTTCAGGGCACTTTCTGCTCACCCAGGTGAGGTTTCTCTCAGGTTTTGTAAGGAAAAGGGAGCCGGGAATATTGCATTACGCCCAGTTCCGCATACCTGTGTGTTGAGTATGACGCTTGCAAGCTCCTCTTACGATCGGCCGGTTGATACAGGGCGGGCGAGGTCATATCTTGTTTGTGCAGTCTCTTCGTAGTATATCATATACTGGGGAGTAACCAGCCAATGTGAACGAAAACTAGGTAATAGCTGAAATCGCACCGTCAGTTCCTTCCAAGCGGTGATGTTCGGTGCTATAAACTCATCCTATCATCCATGATGAGTGTTTGATCTCGGATGATCTCGAACTTCCGGCATCTGAAAGCAAGCGCAAACATGACATTGGTGCACTGTAAAAGGTCAACGAACACTACCTTAGGCAATGCCAAAACATGACCTTGATGCCACCTACGTTGCCACCGACACATTTCAATCGCTACAGCCCATGCTATTGCCGTCGCGTGTGGGGGGGGGGGGGGGCGAATTTCGCGCTAACGTGTCAGCAGCAGCTCAGCGCCACCGGACTCCAGTCCGCCGGTCAGGAGACTGGCCGATTTGTCTCCCGGAAACCGCACTCGTCCTCTGTCATGCCAGGGCATCCAACGAGGCGGCGACATGAGAAGCCCAGTGTGACGCGCGGCCCGGTCATACGCGATAGTGCGATAAACATGCCTCGGTAGTACCCGCATTTGGCAGACAGCGGCGGCGATAGACATTTCCCTTTGCACTGCGGAATTGCACGGCCGCGCTGGTGCGGCCGGGCCTTCGCAATGACTTGCGTGTAACGGCGGCAGTGACTCATAGAGCCGTCTATACCGCGAAACATTTGGAATTTGTTTGGCCGAAGCCATTTATGGGCATTCCATCTGCTCTAATGTCATACTGATATAAAATGGTGTGTCACGGGCATTGGCGACTTTCACCTCATCACTTGTATCTTCATATCTGCACCAGAAAAGGCCTGACGCATCTCATGTAAGAAATGTTTCGTGTTACGGCATTACAGAGTGCCGTTTTTCCACGCTCCTGCCGTGCGGACCGTTGAGAGTCATGTCATAATTCCTCGAACTCACATGACTGGACATATGACTTCCATTTCCGGTGAATCAGGGCTGAAGCCTTGCTGGTCCAAAGTTTTGCCACGAATCAACGAACGTGTCGGGAGATCCCCAGTGAACGTCGCGGAACGCCAGACCACAGGCAACTCTGCTGGCTCATGGATCGAAAACACGATTGTTGGTCAATACGATTAGCAATGTCTGCCAGTTTGCGTCATCACAGCGGCGTAAGCGGATGAGCATTGACAATCATCGCACATGCTTAATAGGATCTGCTTGAAATATATTATGTTTTTAGCGGCTATGATGGGAGCGTGAGAAAGAGGCCCTATGCAGTTGTTATGATCCGACTTATCTTGGTTTGGGATACAGCGTGTCGTATCTGGGGCAGGTTGTCGCGAGAGGTAAACGTTGGTTATTTCCCGGTCTATACCGAGGGATCGATGGGTAGGATAGCACTTAGATCGCTTGATCGCTTGCGAATAGTACGTCCGCGTGCACTGTGCCACTAGTTCCGCGCCTACATATACTAGCTCGGGCCCCTGAGCTTTTGACGTTAGTCCTTGGAAACGCCCGAAATCGGAGGAATCTATGAATTGCGCTCAATTGCATATGACAGTCTGCACCTTTGCCCACAATTTTATCAGTGAGAACTCCGCTTCTCCTCTCAGTTAGTGTTGTTAGTCTCATGCTGCCGTGGTCGTCGAGGTCCGGACCTGCATGTGGCCAGAAGCATGTTCTTCGGCTCTAAAACATGCTACGATTTTGCTTTTTATTCTCATCAAATGAGGAGCTAAAACAGTTTCAGTTCTACAACGTTGCAAATTACGCTGGTTGTTTAAACAGGCAGCAGTTCAGTGACTTACAAATATTTCAGCACAACCTTTAAAGAGTAATGCTAGTGCTTGCTGGACACTTCGTGATGGCAGGATCAATGGCTGCAAACCTGTACGCCCTCCGAAGGTGAGGCTGGCCAGGCCGGCCAGACCGCAGAAGCTACAGAAGGTCCGCTAACTTAGCGTCAGGGTTCGCCCGGCCTGTGGCCCAGCTCGTGATATTGGGTGCACCGCAAGGTAGAGGATTCCACAGACTGGGTGGGCCCATGGGTAGCCCAGCCCAGCAGGTTATCCGTGGTGTGTGGATGACGGGTTGAGCTGGGTGCAGACCTGAGGATATCACGGGTCTAGGTACGGTTAGGTATGGGCAAGACGTTTAAAGGATATTAACTGGGTAAACACGTCAATAAATCCTACTCATTTTTACTGCTTGCTCTACATCTAGTCATAAATGGCTCCATTCGTCGTACTTTTGCCATTGCAGTAATTTTGGTGGGACATTTTCTGACTTACAGGATTTAGAAACCAACTATTTTAGTTGGATGGGCTGCAGCCAACGTCGAGAAGAAAGCGGGTCAACTTCGTGAAGAAACTAATTGGCTATATTTGTGGATGGATTTCGTTATTTTTCATTGTCCAGCCCTTCACTTATTTTGAGAAACTACGCCCCTGTCCCAAGCGCTAGACAAATGCAAGCGGATGGATAACAGTTGTAAAGACAACACATTTAGAACGGGTAGCAGATGTTAACGCAGGCCCACGAGCAACGAGTGGATTTGATGGGGAAAATAATATCCGTGGAGACCTTTACCAGAAGACACACTCAGTCATAAAGACGGTTTCTGCAGTTCCACGAAGCATTGATGAGCCCGTAACTTTGGCCCGGAAAAAAGGCCCCGATCCCTTGGATGGGATGAAAGCACGCCTACGCTGCACAACAGCTGTATCCTGTCAATGAGCTGAAATTTGGTTGCAAGATGTATGTCATTGATCTCAAACAAACAAAATCCCGCCGAGTCTTCACGGAGAGAAATATCGCACTGAGCCAGCGGCGATTTGTGGGAATATGTCAACAGTCTCGGCGTGGTGGAAGTCTCAGACCGTCTACGGCTTCAACTGTTTCTTTCTCCACAACTTGTGGTGTATACACAGTGTAACTGCATGAATACGATTATTTCAGCATATGTGCCACTCTGGCACAAGCGCTTAACTCATCTAGGAGTACACTCATCATTTTATGCACAGCAAATCTACAAAGTGCAGTAGTGCACAGTTTTCCAGTCACATGTTCCCAGCTACATGCACATTTTTCAGTCACACCCCGTGCTTGAATAACGCCATTTGTGAAACAAACAGAGCGGATACGGGTCCGACTAATTAGAAAATTGTCTTAATCGTTCTAATCGGACAAATGATCCACACCCATAACAATGCCACCAGAAAACCCAAAGATCTGCATATGAGGACCTGGAAGATGGCAATGGGGCTAAGAAAGAACACGCCGAAGAACACGCCAATGCCGCCCACGCCACCGGTGATGTGCCTCAGACCAAAGACCGCTTACAAATGATCTTTTCTACGTCGTGATAATTTGTTCTGAACGCTGGTGAGCACTGTCGCCCGACTACAACGGAGTCATTGCAGACGAGTCTATGCAGCGTTTAGGCATATGTTGCATGCAGCACTATGCTTGATTTGGCAAAATTGCTGCACGTTTGAGGTGTCAGCAATCCATATATTTGAAATATGAACGCTTTACAAACGACGGAATGCACTTACATGAATTATTTAATAATTCATGACGCTGCACAGCAGGCTAGACGGTCATGTATGCAGGGTAACCTTACCGGAAGCTTCCTCACCGATTGGGGGATGACAAGGTGGGTTTAACCAACGCGCTGCCTTTCCGCCTTTCGTCCGCTTTTCCTCTGTTTTAAATCCACCTTTCATGGCGATTTAACAGGAAGGGGCTCACTGATGCAGCGTTCGCACGCTAATTCGCAGATAACATACCATGAACATTGCTTGGCCACGAGGTTGGCCGGTGCTGGTCATTTCAGTCACCAAAATGGAGGAAGCCGCAGCAATTTACGGCATGCGCCGTGCGGTTGGCTCCATGCATATGTCTGATCTGGTTGACGACATCTGACATAAATCCTTAAACTGCCACAAAACGGGCTCCAAGGTTGTGCACGAGAGAGCGTGACTGCATGTACCCATCGACCCACACTTTTGCGGTTGTAATTGTCCGTGTTGTCCTCAGGCAGAATTCCATGGCCTCGTGTCGCTGGGACACCGGGCAAAGGAGAGCTGGACCCGACCTTGATGTGCGTTGCCCAGTTGTTTTTTTGCCGTTTTAGAGTTTTACATTTCCCGTGTTAATTCAGTGGGAGGGGCGGGGAGCGACGCGGGATGTGACAGGGAAAACCGCCTTACAGAACGGAGTTCACGCAGTGATAAGCAATTTACACA